GTTTTTCCTCAAACGATGTAGAGTCCTCCACAATGTGCCCTGCATGATAACGTCACTTCCGGGTGATGTCATAAGATCGGGAACATTGGCATGAACACTGCACTTTGGGGGCTGGCAGATCGAGGGCCCTGAAAGTGGGGGATTGGGAAGCCTACACATGCCTAAAAGGTAATAATTAAAAAGAATATAAGCTGCCTCAGACCCCAGCTTCAGTCACATCACTTTTGGAGGCAGCATGGGGGGGAAGAGCAAAAAAATATGTACATCCTTCCTTAACTCTTGGGCTTGCTTTACCCTGTACTGCACTGCAACCTGGATAGCACAGAAAAAAACTTTATGCCAAGACAAACTGCACTATCTATTTGACTGGTGGTAGATCTGAGGACTGGATATTTTAATGACGCTAATACGTTCTTTTCAGATGCAAGTCATTGTCAAAAGTGTCCAAAAGATCAGCATCCAAATAAGACCCGAGACCAATGTGTTCCCAAATATATAACCTTCCTGTCCTACGAGGAACCTTTGGGGATCATCTTAAATATCCTTACACTTTTCTTCACCTTAATTACAAGTTTGGTTTTGGGAATCTTCATTAAATACTTTGGCACTCCAGTAGTCAAAGCCAACAATCGGGACCTCTCCTACATTCTCCTCATCTCTCTCATGCTTTCCTTTCTCTCCTCTTTGCTATTCATTGGTGAGCCAAGGCAAGTCACCTGCCTTCTCCGACAAACTGCCTTCAGCATCATCTTCTCCGTTGCCGTCTCTTCGGTGTTGGCCAAAACGGTCACTGTGGTGGTGGCCTTCATGGCCTCCAAGCCTGGGAGCAGGATGAGGAAATGGCTGGGGAAGAGCTTGGCTAACTTCATTGTATACTCGTGTTCCAGCATTCAAGTGGGCATCTGCACTCTCTGGCTGGGCATCTCTCCCCCCTTCCCAGACTCTGACATGCACTCCCAGACTGGACAGATCATACTGCAGTGTAACGAAGGGTCTGTCACTATGTTTTATACTGCCCTTGGCTACATGGGCTTTCTGGCTGCCATCTGCTTCACTGTGGCTTTCCTAGCCCGGAAGCTGCCTGGGGCATTCAATGAAGCCAAGCTGATCACCTTCAGCATGTTGGTGTTCTGCAGTGTTTGGGTGTCCTTTGTGCCCACCTACCTGAGCACTAAGGGGAAATACATGGTGGCTGTGCAGATCTTCTCTATCTTGGCCTCCAGTTTGGGCTTACTGGGCTGCATCTTTCTTCCCAAATGCTTCATTATTATACTGAGGCCTCATCTGAATACCAAGGAACAACTAATTGTGAAACATGAAGATGTCATCTGATTTTGAGTCTTTTTAAAAATTTGATAATATTTGTGTTTTATGCCCTAATGAAGCCAATATACTTGTCTTTGCACGCTTTGAGGTGTTACAAGGGTTCCCATTCCCCAGGTGGTGCCTGCAGATCTCCTGCTATTACAACTGAACTCCAAGCGACAGAGGTCAGGTCACCTAGAAAAAATGTTGCTTTGGAAGTTTTGTGGGACATTCCTGGAGATTTAGGAGCATTCCTTGGGAAGGGTGGAGTTTAGGGAGGGAGAGAAGCCCCATGGGGTGCAATGTCATGTCCTATGATGTCAATCCAAGTGAAAGGTCAGATCTTTTAACCCCTCTCTTTATTTTGAGATCAATTCCTCCCACCAAAATTTGATTTTTCAGTTTAAATGTCCTGCATCGTCTCACCCATCATATAAAGCCCTCTCACAATTGGCCAGGTTCTTCCTCAATGTCCTTCTCTCAGTCCTCAATCACCCTCCAAACTGTCTCAGGCACTTAACAATCAGGTTTTCCTAGTTACCATAGGAAAAGTGGAACTCTTAGTGCCTCCACTGTTTGTAGCTGCTCTAGGACTTCCATTTCTCATAGGCTCTATGCCACGAGAGGGGGGGGGTTGATCCGGGTAGTTTGGAGAATTCTGGGAGAACGCCAGGTCCCACTTGCGGGGTGGCAGCCCTAGGTAGCCATATTGATATGCTCAGGAAATATGGAGAAAGGTTTTTACTAAGGTTAGCAAAAACATTCCTGTTAATACTCAACCAGAGCCCTGCCTAGCTCTTTTAGGTATCAATACAATTTTCCAAAATGACAAAAATTATCAGGAAGTTGTATGTTCTCTCTGAACAGCAGCAAGACAAATAACCTAGAAAACAAACCCATTTTTCAGTTTAGATATTTGATGTTCAAGAGTATGTCAGTTGGCACTGATTGAAGCATTAAGCCAGATAATATATTTAAATTTTGGAGTCCGTTATTGAGTTATGATAACCACAGACCTGAAGTCACCTTGTCACTACAACAAACTTGCTGTGTTTGGTGTGCGATATTTTAAAGAATACAATATTGTTCTAGCAAACCTGTATTATTGTAACAACACACAATAGCATTAACAAGAGGTCTCTTTGATGGTTGTTTGCATGGATATTACCTGTTCTATTATAGGCAAAATGTTTTCCTCAAAATATATTTGTAACTGTTTACCATCTGTTAATAGAATTTAGAAAAGCAAGAAAAATCAGCCCAATGTAGAGTGTATTGTAATAAAATTTACTTATCATTTTCTTATTACTTGCTTATTTCCTGTTTGTATGTTACAACTGCTGTATTGTCTTATACTGAGGCAGAGAAGAAAAAAGGGGAAAAAACTGAACCTAAACCTAGAATTCAGAACCTAAAAAGGTTAGTCAGGAATAGAAAAGGGCCAACTCTAAAAATCTAATCATAAAATATACAAAAATATATATGTGTGTTTATTCAACATAAATTAAAATAACAAACAAGGGCCCATTCATACCTCATATAAAACTATAAAAACATACAAGGGCTAATAAGATAGACCTAATAAGATAGATCTAACGCGTTTCGGCCTTTACAGGCCTTCTTCAAAGGTCTAATACATACAGAACATATTGGCTGATGTGCAAAAATACATACAATTCTACATATACAAAATATGGAATAAAGACCAGAAATCAATTGTTCCAAAGTTTTACCACTGGGCAAGGAAAAGAAATACAGAAATACAAATGAATCCTCCGGTGAAATCACATGTCCAGTGGTACTTCTCTCTGGTCAACTGTATATTCATTTAAGGTTGTACAGCCAAATGTTCCAAATAAAATGTTCCTTAGGTTAAAAGCAGTGTTGATCAAAAAGGTTACAAGGGTTCCCATTCTCCAGGTGGTGCCTGCAGATCTCCTGCTATTACAGCTGATCTCCAAGTGACAGAGATCAGTTCACCTGGAGAAAATGTTCCTTTGGAAGCTTTGTGGGACATTCCTGGAGATTTAGAAGAAGAAGAAGAAGAGATTGGATTTATACCCTTCACTACTCAAAGGTGTCTAAGATATAAGGTGTTGTTAAAATGGTATACTGAAGATGAAACTGTTAAAGAACAAATGTTAAAATGGGCTATTAATATGAATAAGGAAGTGGATATGGAAACTTGGGAATATTTGTGGAAAAACTCTATTAAGATCTCGACATGTACTAATGTTAAAGAAAATTGTTATAAGATGATGTATAGGTGGTACATGACACCTAAGAAGATTGCAAATATGAATCAAAATATGTCAAACAAATGTTGGAAATGTAAGAGGCATGAGGGCTCATTTTATCATATGTGGTGGACTTGTGAGAAAGCTGTAGACTTTTGGACAAAAGTCCACAATGAAATGCAAAAAATATTGAAATGTTCTTTTAAAAAAGCACCGGAAATTCTGCTTTTGGGACTTAAAATGGAAGAAGTCAATACGACTAAAAAGACTTTACTCTGGTACCTGATAGTGACAGCGAGAATGATTTATGCTCAGTTTTGGAAGACAGAAAAGGTACCAGAGGTTGAAGAATGGATACAAAAAGTTCTGTTCATGGCACAAATGGATAAGATTACAAAAAAACTGAATAACAAAGAAGACGATGAGTTTTTTGGAGAATGGAATGATTTTAAAATTTATCTGGAAAAGAACTGGGATGTGAAACAAAACTTAATATGTTTAGATCAATATTAAGTCAAACGATGTTATCTTTAGATTGTAATGATGAGAAACTGATATTGTTGATGATATGAAGTAATTTGGAGCAGGGGTGGAAGCATTGTGGGAAGCCATTGGAGGGAGGGGAGGAACTGGGAATGGGGTAGACAATTGATAGAATGAAATGTTTTATATGTTGTATTCCTGAGAAAATAAAATTTGTTTACCAAAAAAAAAAAAAAAAAGAAAAGGGATCTGTGGTCTTTTTTGGTCCAAGTCCTCAAACCGCAAAGTAAACTTCTCTTGCAGTTGTGTAAGTTGTTTCACGTATCCAGCTATATCTGTTTTAACACCGGTCTTCTGCAGGGTGCTGCGCAAAGAAGGAAAATGGGATAGATTGCTGTTTTGAATGTGTGCTTTAAAAAGCTTCAACTTGTTTACAAAGGAGAATACACTTTGTGTCAGCTCAGGAAGAGTTTTTAATTTCCCCTGCAGGTCCACGTTTAGTTTATCCAAGTGTGAAAGCATGTCCACTAAAAATGCCAAATCCATAAGCCACTCGGGGTCTGAAAGCAGAGGATACGTTTTGTTCTTCTCTGCCATAAACAATTTTACTGTTTCCAAAAGCTCAAAAAAGCACGAAACTACTTTGCCTCTTGAGAGCCATCTCACTGCGCTGTGCAGTGGCAGGTCACCGGGCAAGTCTGCGTCAAGTTCTGCAATGAGGTTCTTGAATTGCCCGTGATTAAGGGCGTGCGTACGGATGTAGTTCACAATCTCCATCACAGGCTTCATAACGTGGTCTAAATTCAGTGTTTTGGACACAAGTTGCTCACGATGGATGATGCAGTGGAAGTTCCAAAATTCAGGAAAGGCGTCATCACCTTTACAAAGACCCACAAGTCCATTTACTGAGCCAATCATCGACGGTGCTCCATCCGTGACTATTGCAGTGAGTTTTTCAAAAGACATATTTGCTTTTTTAAAAACGGCAGTCATTGCCTCTTTTATGTCAGTACCGCGAGTTCTGTCTTTTAATGCGACAATGTCGAGAAGCTCTTCTTTAATCACGCAGTCCTCAGAAACCATTCGCGCAAATATTGCCAACTGTGGCTTGTCTTGTATGTCGCATGACTCGTCTAATGCAACACTAAAATAAGCACATGCGTTCAAGTCTGCATGTAGATCTGACTCAATCACATTATTTATGTCTGCTATTCTGGTTTCAACTGTGTGCCGTGACAGCTGGAGATCATTGATGGAATCTTTGAGTTTTTTATTGTCTGGAGCCAAGGTTTCAATTACATCCGCAAAACACTGTTTTAGAAACTCCCCCTCATTGTATGGTTTTTTAGCACGGGCAATGTTCCACGCCACTTTATAGGATGCAAGGGTCACAGTTTCTCCATGCTTGGTTAATTGCTGAAACATTTGAGACTGTCTTTTTACCTGGCTTTTCAAGGTGCTCAATTTTTGCTTGCGTAGTTCAGTACCTTTGGGTAATTCCTTGTCAATATTAGCATGGAGAGTGCTAAAATGACGCTGAAGATTTGAAGCCTTGAAATGTGATATCATAGTATTGCATATTAAACACAGCGCTTTCCCATTCCGTTCAATAAAGAAGAAAGCATCTTCCCATTCTTCCAAAAATGTCCTGTGTTCATCTTCATATTTTCGTTTAGCTTTGCATTTTGCCATTTTGAGTGAGGGTAAAAATCTTGCAGTGATGGTGAGGGTGTGCTGCGTCCGCCACACGCAGCCTGGGGGCGGGACTACGCGCTCGGAGATCTCTCCTCAGAGGTCCCTCCTCAGAAGCAGCATAACAAAATCCAAACTTGGCAAACGACGTGATGACGCAGCCTGGGGGCGGGACTACGCGCTCGGAGATCTCTCCTCAGAGGTCCCTCCTCAGAAGCAGCATAACTAAATCCAAACTTGGCAAAGAGCCACAGTATACAAAATAATGATAAGAGGCAAAGAGCCACATTCATTTTGGCCGGGAGCCGCATGCGGCTCTAGAGCCACGTGTTCGCCACCCCTGCCCTATCCTATTAGTATCTTCCTTGGAATAATTGATGTCAATCCAAGTGAAAGGTCAGATCTTCTAATCCCCTTCTTTCTTCTGAGATCAATTCCTCCCACCAAAATTTAATTTTTCAGTTTAAATTTCCTGTATCATATCACTCAACCTTAAAAGCCCTCTCAATTGGCCAGGTTCTTCCCCAATGTCCTTTTCTCAGTCCTCAATCACCCTCCAGGCTGTCTCAGGCACTTAACAATCAGTTTTTTCCTAGTTACCATATCACACCATAGGAAAAATGGGTGTCTTAGCACCTCCAGTGTTTGTAGCTGCTCTAGGACTTCCATTTCTCGTAGACTCTGTGCTTCATACCATGGGGGGGGGGGCTTGATCTTGGTAGTTTGGAGATCAATTGTAATTCTGGGAGATCTCCAGACCCCACCCGTGGGGTGGAAGCCCTCGGTAGCCATACTGGTATGCTCAGGAAATATGGAGAAAGGTATTTACTTAAATTAGCAAAAACATTCCTCTTAATACTCAACCAGAGCCCTGCCTAGCTCTTTTAGGTATCAATACACTTTTTCAAAATGAGATACCTTATCAGGACTTTGTATGATCTCTCTGAACAGCAGCAAGATAAATAACCTAGAAATAAACCCAGTTTTCAGTTTAGATCTTTGATGTCCAAAGAATATGTCAATTGGCACTGATTGAAGCATTAAGCCAGATAATATATTTAAATGTTGGAGTCCATTATTGAGTTATGATAACTGCAGACCTGAAGTCACCTTGTCACTACAACAAACTTGCTTTGTTTGATGTGCGATATTTTAAAGAATACAATATTGTTCTAGCAAACCTGTATTATTGTAACAACACACAATAGCATTAACAAGAGGTCTCTTTGATGGTTGTTTGCATGGATATTACCTGTTCAATTACAGGCAAAATGTTTTCCTCAAAATATATTTGTTTGCAACTGTTTAGCATCTGTTAATAGAATTTAGAGAAGCAAGAAAAGGCAGCCTAATGTCGAGTGTATTATAGTAATATTTACTTATCTTTTTCTTAGTATTGGCTTGTTACCTATCTGTATATTACAACTGCTGTACTTTGTGAGACACAACACATTCTACGGTCCTCACACT